GAGAGAGAGAGAGAGAGAGAGAGAGAGAGAGAGAGAGAGCAGAGAACGAGAGGAGAGCGAGGTGTAGAGAAACCGAGGGGGAGAGAACCCGAGTGTGTGTATGCGTGTGCGTGTGTGAGCGCGAGCGAGCGAGTGAGGGAGAGGAGCGAGAGAGTGCGAGCGAGAAAGAATAAAAGGAAAGAAGATTTTCTCTATGTATATAAAGATGGCCACGTTAGCAAACGGACAGGCTGACAACGCGAGCCTCAGTACCAACGGGCTCGGCAGCAGCCCAGGCAGCGCCGGGCACATGAACGGATTAAGCCACAGCCCGGGGAACCCGTCGACCATTCCCATGAAGGACCACGATGCCATCAAGCTGTTCATTGGGCAGATCCCCCGAAACCTGGATGAGAAGGACCTCAAGCCCCTCTTCGAGGAGTTCGGCAAGATCTACGAGCTTACGGTTCTGAAGGACAGGTTCACAGGCATGCACAAAGGTGAGTGCACCTTTCCCTCCCAACTTTGCCAGGGAGAAGGAGCGGGCGGGCGGCCGATCGGCCGGCGACTGACGAGCGGGAGATGGGCGAGAGGGAGCCGCGGGCGGGCGGGCGCCGAAGAGGGAGGCGCTCGGGCAGCGGAGACCTGAGCTGGGGTGCGTGGGGGAGCTGCTCGCTGGGGCAAAGCTTGGTTTTGGGGGAGAAGCTGATAGGAGCTGTGCCATGGGGAGAACAGCGGGAGCAGAAGATGAAGAGAAAGAGGGGATGGTGGGGGAAATGGGGCTTGGGTTTTTGAGTAAAGCGACTTGAAAGATTGGGATAGGGACTGCTGCACCGGGCGAGACCTGGATGCTGAGCGGACTGGCAGGCGCTCGCGGGCCAGGGACCTAGGGTGCTGTCCATCGCCGTGGTGCTGAAAATACTACAGGAGATGGTCTCCTCATCCTCCGCTCCGGGCAGAGTAGCAGGAGCACAGCCGTCTAAAAGGGAGAGAGGTGACAAATTCAAAGAAATATTTTTTTTATTTTGCCATTAATTTTACAGTAAACTCTCCATATAGAGCTGTGTGCCTCAATAATCTGGTTGTTGTGTGAGTGGTGGTGTGGAGAGTGGGGGGAAGGGGGTAGCTTGAATGTTTGAAGGAAGGAGTAATAAAACCTAAGGCAAGAATTAGCAAGGACCCTGTCATCCCCTGGGTGGAGTGGGGGTCTGGGAAAACTGGATAGTCCCTTTCCCAGGAAAGCTGAGCTTTGGGGGGAAAATCGTATGTGTGTGCAAGATATGCTTTTTGAAGGGTGCACCCGAATTTATCCCAAACTCACCATGCAGAGAGCTTTATAGTATATTACTGCTCCCTTGAAGCAATTATTGCTAGTGAGTGCTTGGGGGAGGGGGAGACAAAATAATCAAAGAATTAAAACCTAACAACTTTTTAGGAAAGTGGTCATGGGAATTCTCTGCAGTCTGCCTGTTTTCTCCTTGTTTTATTATCTTTAAGGCAGAGCCCCAAATGTGTTCAGTTGTAGAATGTGTGTGGGTGGCTGGTGGGTGACGGAATTAGCCCAGTGCTCCGCTCCCTAACAGTAATGTATAGGGTGTGCAGCGGGGATTAATCGGTGCTGGAGCTGTGTGGGCAAGTTAAATGCTTTCTGAGAGAGATTGATCGCCAGGCAGGGAAGGAGCACGGGGCTAAGGAAGTTGTAGGGGATGTGTATGGACGTTCCGTTTTTAATAAACAGTAGTGTGGAGAACCGCCGAAGATGCTGTGTTAGAGCTGGTGGTTTCAAAGATGAAAACACACGTACACCCACCCCCACATAGAGAGCAGCCTCATCCTTGGCCACAAATGGGCTCTGAACAGAGCTGATCCTCTAGCACATTAGGTGCAGGGCGCAAAGCTGTCTGGCTCTCTAAGCAACAGCGTTTTTCACTACCACAACCACCCTCTTTCTACAGCCCTCCCTTCATCCGAATACTAAACAGAGCTCCAAACTCTTCATAGTTGGAGTCCCAGAGAGCAGTTTTTATTGGCTTTAGCATCTTCCAGCTTGCCTGCTGAGGAGTAAATCTTAAAGTTAATGGCATGTTGAGTAGCACAAAATCACAGCAGAATGGAAATATACTGGGTTTGTTGGGGTGGGGTGATGGTGGGGGCTGTAATGGAAAGAGAAACCAACCTTTATCCAATATGGAGAAAATGCCTGTCTGTTCAAAAGACAGATTGAAAAGGTGGAGTGGGGAGGCAGTCTTCAAAATAGTCAAAGAAAAAAAAAAAAACACTTTCCCCTCCCTCTCAAGTGAATCATATCTTTGTAGTTTTTCCCTTTCCAATCAAGCTCCCTAGAAGCTAATCAAGGTTTGTATCAAACCTTTGTCATTCTAATACATCCCCAGTTTTAAAAATAGTAATAATAAAAATTTTAATAGCATAGGTAGGGAAGTCTCTTGCCCATCTTAATGATCAGTTCTTGTGGTAATTTAAGATTTCAAACTTAAAAGAATTTAGAACCCACTATAGGCAAAAGACAGTTGTGAGGATCTGGGTGTCCTGTGGGATCTGAATTGGAGCATTTCATTTGCTTCTTTATTTCAAATGAAATAAACTTTAACAATATTTCTTGGTCTCTTCTCAACAATCACTTGCTGATATTACTTTGTTTTTGATGTAATGAGGACTCTCTGGTATTATAGTAAAGAAGTAGAAATTTTATCATTTGTATCAGGGAAATAGAGAAGGTTATTATATGTATATATCATATACATATCTATATGTAGCTATCTATATATAGATATGTATATGATGTATATACACATATCATATATACATATATATATATAACCCTCCAGAATTCCTAGGACAGGAAAAACTTCATTTTCTAAATAATTCCTCTCCCAAACTGTCTCAGTCAGTGACAGGCAGGCCCGTTGGCTCCGGCACACTGGGTGCTTCGTTGTCGCAGCTCACCCGTCAGCCTGAGCATATATCTTTCCTTATGAAACTTCCTGCCTCTCCATCCCTTTGATTTTTGGAGTTGAGGTTGGGGCACAGTGTCCCTAGTAGTGCCTGGAAGCTCCCAGAGAGCTGAATAAATGAGACCGTTTCCAAGGGCTGGTTTATTCAGTCCTAGTAGAGTTTGAACTCCTCCTTCAGTGATGCAGCCTGATTTATTAGCTAATCCTTATAAAATAAGCCTCTGGCCACCTTAAAAAATTACATGCTTGCCATTGGTGATTAATTACTGTTAAGTCAAAAAGCATGATGAGGTTTGAAGAATGAGGATTGCATTTGGCTTCTGGATTTCCCCCATTTGTACATTGACAACGTGAGTCTAGGGTAGAATCATGCCTTTGTTAAGCCTGGTTTCAGGGCATGTTTGTGACTCTTGCTCTCCCCTTCTTGAATGTCTAACTTCTAATGAATCATTCTGGGTTAAAATTGAGAGACCCAACAGGGTACTGGCCTCCAGCATGGATGGCATATGTATGTTATTGGTTTTTAAAAAGCAGTAAAAACTAAATGAAATGCATGAGATTTCAGGTGGGTATCCATTTGTTGGGCACCTGCCATTTCAGGTAACTAAAGAAAGAAGGAGTTCTAAGGGTTAATGGAATACCTGCCATGCGTAGAGTGCACCTTAAAAGGCAATTACTCCAGTCAAATTGGGAGTCTGTGGAGGAGGGAGTGGGTGGGTGTTGTGGAGAAAACCCAGCTATGTCTGAGAAAGGCTGTTGGGCTGGGAAGTAGCAAATAGCAGCTGTGGACCAGGGTAATTACTGTAAAGGTATATTTACCCCCTGGAGACCAGCAAGAATTGGGGAGAGGGGGATCTGGGTGCTGGGCAGAGGCAGAAAGGGAAAAAAAGCCCCAAATCAAAATTCAAAGAAACAACACCCCAGGAAGAAAAGCCACTTTAATGCAAACTCTCCGGTTAACTCAGTCTTCTTTTCTCCCCCATTGGACGCACTTTTCAAAAGATTGTTTTTCTGGCCTACAAAAAGAAAGATATTTTACTATTGATTAAAGAAGAGCGAGGCAAATTCCCTGGGTAGCTGCAGAAATGAGCTGAGGACCAATTTTGCCCCTTTTTGTAGAATTTTTCTTCCTTGGAGAAGGGAACAGATCACCCACTAGTGTACTTCTCCTCTTCTCTCATTTTTAATTTACTTCTCTATTCTTTTTATTTTCTGGAGAACAAATAGAGGCAATGACCAAAGATACATATATACAAACACACATACACACACACACACACACACACACACACACACACACAGTGGATCACACATGAATAAGCCGGCAATCCATTCATAACTTTGGTCCTGTCTAGCAGGATAGGAGGCAGCAAAGACTGAGTTACTGGGAGACATAAAGACTAGTGCTCTCTGGATAGCCATATTATAATGCATTATCTTTGAAGTCATTTAAGTCCAATTTAAGTGGTATTTAGTATAATATTTATGAATTAATGTAATATAAACATAGGGCTGTCCCCAAAGGTTTAAACAGCCTTTACTACTGATGTGTGCTTGTTCCCAGAGCCTGCGATGCATTTTAATCTAAACAGCTAAGTCCCTATCATAGTACCTCCTGTTATCCGTTCAGAGCAGATCTATGCCTGGGTAACTACTCTGCCTTGAGATTTCCCCCACTTCATGGAGGAAAATGTACTTAACTGACAGTCTGGGCAGGGCAGGGGGTTCCCAACCCAGAAGCCACAGCTGCAGGGACATCAGCCCCTCGGACTTTCACACTACATCCAGAAGGAGGGTGGAGACAGAGTAAAGGAACCTTCTGTGGATTTAGCTCCGGAAAGTGTATCATTTTCAGATATGCTCACCATCAGCTGCACAAGCTCCTGTTTCCTACCTGAGTAGGAAGTGCCTGAAGCCCCTTGATTTGGGGTGTGACCAGGAAAAACTGGAAAGACAAGGTCTATTATTATGTTTTGGTGATTTGTGACTATCTTCATGAAATTACACTTTATGTTTGCATTTAAATGCAACAATTTTCAGAATATTGCATTTCCACCTCTCAACTTTAGCCAAGGTAGCTCACAGGTGAATTAAAACCACGAGGCTGTGTCTGATTTCTGTTTTAAAATGAATCTAAGAGTGAAGTTAAAGTATCAGCATCAGCTCAAAAAGATGAACTTTTTCTTAATTACTTTGGAAAATAAAAAGTCATTTTTTTGTACAGGGAAAAAGACTAGCCGAATGACTGGTTACATACCTATAGTTTTTAAAAGAAAGATTTGCATTGCCAGACATAGGGAAAATAGAATACACAGCATATGAAAACAAGAAAATCACTTTCAAAAAATAAGTTTTACCAAAGAAAACGATCAGTAGCAATCATTACAAGACTAAAGTGTATCAAGCCAACAGCCAACATTAAAAAAAAAAAATCCTCCAAATTCCAGATGTTGATATGTTCTATTTAAAAGAAAAGAAAAAAAATTATTAGGAAATTATTGGTTTATTTAGGAGACTGGTGGTTATTTTTATTTGTGCATAATTTTATTTGTCTTTAAAACAGACTTTCTCAGAATCAACACAACAGAAACAAATTAAGAGGTACCTGTGTACTTAATATGTATTCATGTACAAACACGACTAAGTGCATCCCACACATATGAAAACCAGGGCTGGCCTAGATTTCACTGTA